TTGTGTAGGAAGGGGGGTGAAGGGATTGAATGGGGGGGGGAGGGAGGTTAGTGGCTTCTGTTTGTGTGGGGGGTTGGGGGGGGTGCGGGTGGCAGGGGTATTGGTGGTTGTTGTTATAGATTCAGCTACTCGGAACAAGTTCCAAGTAGCACGGGCTATGGTGAGCCCGTAACTTACCTGACACAGGAGTGGGGTATTGGTGCGCGCGCATTCTTTTATAGTGCCGTGTGCATGGTGGTAGTGGGTTAGGTATGGACGCATTCCCTCGTGCGCACCTACAAACGCGTCAACTTGTGTACACACGCACCAGTTGATTGATGTACTCACTCAAAGAATCTGAATCCGAGTACGCACACACGCGGCCCCCAACAGTCCACGGTGGCGTAGGGGTAACCACTCTCCCGGCGAACAAATTGGTGAGAGTTCGACTCCTGGCCAGGGAGGATTGACTGGGCGCCAGTTCTAAATTCCTCGCCGCTGTTCACCCAGCAGTAATTGGGGACCTGGGAGTAAAACCGATTGGAGGGACGTGTTCAGGAAAAAGACGATTGATTGATTGATAAAGATTAAGCCACCCAAGAAGTGGCACGGGCATGAATAGCCCGTAAGTGGTACAATTTTTTTTTCTCAGTATTCTGAGGTTGCATTTAACCATCAAGCTGTTATCGCGGGGGAGGATACTGCTTCACAGTCTTTATGAGGGAGGAAAAAGACTTGTAGATACGCTTCTTATGGGAAGGGAAGGCAGTCAGAAGGCGTCTACTCCTGAACCCACCTGTGTAATAAGTTAACTAGGTAGAGACATGCTCTCAACATATATAATACTCAGTAACCAGATACGCAATGACATGTAATGCAATGACATTAAAAAGAGACACGCAAGTCGGGGGGTATTTAAATACGGCTGGTGAGCCTGGGATTAATTAGAAAAGTACAGTACTCCAGTGGCATAAATCCTTGGATTAAGTGGTGGAGGCAAACTCGACATGTATTCAGAGGCACGGACACGCTCCAGCCGACCGCGCGCACGCACGCACGCACTCATATTTAACTGGCATCTTACAGGCCTCCGAATGCATGATAGAACTGATGAGTTAGCAAAAACATTTGCTTGTAACGAGGAAGTTGATTACCCATCATCTTGGACTGCCTTTGAGCAGCCTGAGAGTAGTAATATTCCGCGGACAGCAACAAAATCTTGTAGACTTGAGGCAAAGTGAAATTCACACCAATTCCTCCATCTATCATCATTCTTTTATGCAGGAAGAACCACACGTCTATGGGTCATCCAATAAGGTTAGCAGACTTCTAGATATTACCACTGCTAGGCTTAGACTCAGCTACAAGTAGAACCTTTGGGAGTTTACAGCACCTGCTGACGTGGACTGTAAGCCCCTGTAAACTGTCAGCGGAGCTGATTGATGAAGATTAAGCCACTCAAGAGGTGGCACGGGCATGAATAGCCCGTAACACAGAATTATTCCCATAATCATTATATAATTGAATCTGATAAAATAGCAGAATTCGGAGATAACACCACCAGTGGCGCTCAAGAAATGTGTAAGTACTTCATTTGTAATGATGAATGAAGTACTAACCAGAAATAGTAAGCCAGAGTTCCAATAAGCGAAGATAGATAGGAACTAATGCGCACATTAGGAAATGTATATGTTTATCTCAGAATGTTTGGTAATATGTTTATTGTTTGTGATGTGTGTCTATGTATGTATTAACACGATGTACTGAACGGGGTGAGAATAGCTTGAGCTACCTCATCCCTTTGTGTGTATTTTACCAACATACAATCGCTTACACAAGTTCACATTCATGTGCACTCATGCGAGTGCAAACCCCAAACAAAATAATTGGTTGGCTCGACGTCTAAAGTGCGTTTTAATGCGTTCTAGATCATAACACCTTTGTTATCGTTATCACGTCACAAAGATAAGTGCCTAAAGTGAGAGTTAACAGGCTCCCGTGCGTTTTTAGTTAACTTCTGTGTTCTTAACTTTGATTTTCATCTCCATCTTAAAGCTTTAGTACTGACTCCCAACTCTGGGAGTGGCATGCCCACATTTGAAATGGTAAATAGTCTGCGGCGCCTTACTTGCTAGGCTACTCGAACGGCGCCTTACTTGCTAGGCTACTCGAACGGCGCCTTACTTGCTAGGCTACTCGAACGGCGCCTTACTTGCTAGGCTACTCGAACGGCGCCTTACTTGCTAGGCTACTCGAACGGCGCCTTACTTGCTAGGCTACTCGAACGGCGCCTTACTTGCTAGGCTACTCGAACGGCGCCCAACTTGCTAGGCTACTCGAATGGCGCCTTACTTGCTAGGCTACTCGAACGGCGCCTTACTTGCTAGGCTACTCGAACGGCGCCTTACTTGCTAGGCTACTCGAACGGCGCCTTACTTGCTAGGCTACTCGAACGGCGCCTTACTTGCTAGGCTACTCGAACGGCGCCTAACTTGCTAGGCTACTCGAACGGCGCCTTACTTGCTAGGCTACTCGAACGGCGCCTAACTTGCTAGGCTACTCGAACGGCGCCTAACTTGCTAGGCTACTCGAACAGAGGAAATACTTCGTCCCCCCAAATATTTGCCTTCTTGTCCCTCTTGCTACCTGTACTGAAACAGCCTCTAGTGTATTATCTTTCTAGATAGTTTATTCCTCTGTTTCCTAAATAATTCTTACGCAGGTCTTTCGAATCTGTCCAGTTTGTATCTGTTGTTTGGTGTTCTATTTTGTGTATATTGAGTACGTAATATCTCTTATCTTTTCTATACTTCTATCATGTCGCTCCTTACTCTTCACCGTTTTGACAGAATGTAAATTAAGTTTTTTTTTAACCTCTCCATAAGTTTCTAATTTATGGGATCAATCAGTATATCATAATCACCATATGTTCACCTATTGGTTAACCTTTATTTTATTTTCACCCTCTCCTTGTACGTCTCTCCTGGTTCCACTTTCACAACCTTTTAAGTCATTTTGTTTACTCTCCCGCCTTCAGTTTTCCTGTTTTTTCTCTCGTCTTCGGCTCTCTTCTCCTTCAAGGCGTTTATATTATCATATTCCTTTGTCAATATCCTTAAATTTCATTTCTGTTATTTTCTAAGTTTTTGCTTTGGCTTCTTTTTATGGTTGGTACTAACAAATAATGGTGTAGACGGTATCTATATATAAATTGTGTTAGTTTGCCCTTCCAAACTAGTATAGTGTTAGGAATGGTGCCCCACATATAGTCAAAACTACACTGGATGTTAGTGTCAAGTGTTAAAACTACATTACACAGCGATACAGAGTGTGCGCATCGCTGAAAATTCTAGTGTATTTTCCGAACCCCCCTTACTGTGCTCTGTAGGGTTTCTTCGAGAGCTCTTTTGTTTGAAATGTTGTTTTACTACCCTTAGACACACTGCCTAAACGAAAGTGTAAACTCGGTAATGTTCTGCAGAACTAAAGACGAAATTACCGTGTTTTCTAAGTTGTGGAGAAGAATGCAAAGCAGAGTGCTTGGTCTGTAGGCATGATGACTTCTGGAAAATAAAGGCACTAATGCTCTACAAGCCAATCTTTGCTGAGAAGAATATAATTGATAGAGAAGTATGCGTGGAGACCTGCAGGAGAAAGTGTGATCTTGAGATGTAACACAAAATAGTTGCCTTACTCCCAGGTACGTATTTACTGCAAGGTGTACACACACATTAGGTGTATGGAAGCGTGCCTAAACGGCTCGTTCTTCCCGGGAATCTAACCTCAGGACCTTGTACTGGATTTCGTTAATCAGGACATACTTCTAGGTAATTCATCACATATTGAACGTCACCTGACCGGTTTTCTGGGATACAATTGAAAGACATAGCGGAAGACGTATTGGTCCACGACTAAGTTATGGTAGAAAATAAGGGTGCTGCATTTGCCTTCACAAACTTCTATCTGGATAGAGAATATAATAGGAAAGTAGAAGGTATGCAGGCGATGAGTCACAATAACGTGGCTGAAGTATGTTGACCAATCCACACACTAGAAAATGAAGGGACGACGACGTTTCGGTCCGTCCTGGACCAATTTCAAGTCGATTGATCTTGAGAATGGTCCTGGGCAGACCGAAACGTCGTCGTCCCTTCATTTTCTAGTGTGTGGATTGGTCATCAAAGTAGAAGGTATATATGGTATGGTATGCAAGATTGGCACGTTAATTAGTGCTCCCGGATAATCTAGGTGGCAGTAAGATCTTGTGGAAAGATGTCCTACTGTGCACGCTTATTGCCTCTAACAACTATCTCAGCTTTAACGGAAAATTCCTTTGGGTATAAAGATTGGTCGCTGGGTCCGACCGTATTTACATTAGTGTGTGGGCTAAGTTACAGGCCTTGCTCTCCCTTCCACTCAAGGGGAGAGAGAGAGATGGAGGGATGGAATGTACTCACCTAGATATTCTTACCTAAGTGAGTTTGCAGGATCTAGCGCTAACTCCCTGCCAGCTGTATGTCGCCACGACAGTTTTTTTACCCTGATGCTGCTATTCACCTATCAGTAAATAGGTACCTGGGAGTTAAACAGCTGTTACGGGATGCTTCCTGAGGGGAGGGGGTGTGTAAAAAAAATCAGTTGATTGACAGTTGAGAGGCGGAGCGAAAGAGCCAGAGCTCAAGCCCCGCAAGCACAAATAGGTGAATACAGCCCTATTTAGCCATATATATTATCTCATTGTTGTAATCTCGTTGGTTTAACGAGGCCAACCATTGATGCTGCCAAGAATGTAACCCACAACAGTTACCCAACACGAGGCTACCTATTTACCTTTACCGTTGATTCAACGACGAACCAACGTCATACTGTGCTCACTGGGCAGTAGCCTTAATGGGGGGGGGGGCAAAAAGACGGTGGCTTGTCAAAGGTCTCTTCCCACCCCCCACCCCCCTCCATTATTGATTGGTCTTACAAATCAGAATTCTGAGTTAAACGTGTCTAACAAAGTTATCTTGTTTCAGGGTTCTCACAAAGAATCAAGCGGGGCAAGGAAACCTGGGGATATGTGAGAGTGCGCGACAAGGCGCACATGTTCTTCTGGCTGTACTACACCACCGCTGATGTCGACTACAAGCTTCGGCCACTGGTTCTGTGGCTTCAGGGTGGCCCAGGTGCCTCTTCTACGGGCATTGGCAATTTCCTCGAGATAGGCCCACAGGACGCGTCTCAGCAAAATAGGACCAATGCTTGGGTATGTATACCGACAGTGGTTAATATTTCAGCTGTACAAGATGATTTCGGGTGCAATTTTGCCATGTGTTAAGTTTATATATATATGTATGGAGAGATGGAATGTACTCACAAATATACAATAGCCTTCCCCCCCCCCCTTCCCCAACTATTTGATTTTTTTGTATACCTGTCTAACTACTTTTCACGCATTTGGTTTTGAGCTCAAGTGACATGCGTCGTTTCTTAATCACCGTTGGAAAGCGCTGAATGACAAGACAATTAATTGTTGTAGTTCCCATTGCTTAGCCTCTTGCTAGAATGATTATCTGCACCTAAACTCAACTCCATAATTTAGACTAATGAAAGAATCCGACAAATCCCCCCCCCCCAAAAAAGTTTTCAGCTAATCAATTGCACTCCAGTAGTAGTAGTAGTAGTCTAAGTTATGGTTATTCCAAAGATCAACGTCCCCATGGCCCGGTCTCTGACCAGGCCTCCTGTTTGGTGACCTTGGTAATGAGGCTGTTAGTGTGCAACAATATTCCACCCTAGAGAGAGGACTAGTGTCTTGAAAAAGATCATCATTGGTTTTGTCCTTGGATGTTATCAGCATCAAACCTCCTTTGTTTGATGCAGGTTTAGAAATAAATATTTCCTAAAGTACTCCCTTTTTTTCAGACGGAGCAGGTGAACGTACTCTTCGTTGATAATCCAGTAGGAACAGGCTACAGCTATGTTGAAGACCCGAAGCTTCTGGCCACCAACAACACTGTTATTGCTGATGACCTTGTGTCCTTTATGAAAGGATTTTTCATAAAAGTGAGTGTGAGATGTGACCCATGTCTGCATGTGGCCATTAATAATGGCCAAAGGCCATGATTAGGGGTAGAAAATGAATTTTGGTGTTTTTCATAAATATATATATACTGTATGGGGTTCATCTGTCAAGGATTGTATTCGCCTCTAATCACGCCTCTCAACTGTCAATCAACTGATGTACAGATTCCTGAGCCTACTGGGCTCTATCATATCTACATTTGAAATTGTGTATGGAGTCAGCCTCCACCACATCACTGCCTAATGCATTCCATCTGTTAACTACTCTGACACTGAAAAAGTTCTTTCTAACGTCCCTGTGGCTCATTTGGGTACTCAGTTTCCACTTGTGTCCCCTTGTTCGCGTACCACCAGTGTTGAATAGTTTATCTACCCTGTCAATTCCTCTCAGAATTTTGTAGGTAGTGATCATGTTTCCCCTCACTCTTCTGTCTTCCAATGTCGTAAGGTGCATTTCTCACAACCTTTCTTCGTAACTCATGCCTCTTAGTTCTGGGACTAGTCTAGTGGCATATCTCTAAACTTTTTCAAGCTTCACCTTGTGCTTGACAAGGTACGGGCTCCATGCTGGGGCCGCATACTCCAGGATTGGTCTTACATATGTGGTATACAAGGTTCTGAATGATTCCTTACATAGGTTCCTGAAGGCAGTTCTGATGTTAGCCAGTCTCGCATATGCCGCCGATGTTATTTTGATGCGGGCTTCAGGAGACAGGGTTGGTGAGATATCAACTCCTAGATCTTTCTCTCTGTCCGTTTCATGAAGGACTTCATCTCCCATTCTGTATCCTGTGTCTGGCCTCCTGTTTCCACTGCCTAGTTTCATTACCTTACATTTACTTGGGTTGAACTTTAGTAGCCATTTGTTGGACTGTCTAGGTCATCATGTAGTCTCATACTGTCTTCCTCCGTCTTAATCCTCCTCATAATTTTTGCATCATCAGCAAACAATGAGGGGAATGAGAGGTGTGTGTGTGTGTACTCACCTTATTGTGCTTGCTGGGGTTGAGCTCTGGCTCTTTGGTGTGTGTATGTGTGCTGTCAGCAGAAAATGTTGAAGTAGCAAATTAAAATAAAAATAAAGATTTCTTAAAAGTATTATTGAAATAATTATGGTAACAGTAATTTTTTACTGTTACCATAATTATTTTATAATAATAATCTTGAACACCCACATCCGAGAACTGTGTACATTCAGTAAGTCAATTCCAAAGCTGAAATATATATAATCTAATTGTAGCCTAAGAAGGGCAAGATAAAGCTGAAGACTAACAAGCAGATAATTCTTGTTGTTGGGGGACAAGAAGCATGGTGTTAGGTTTATCGAGGCCCCCCTTCAGTCAACTAGTGACCTTCCCCAAGATGCAGCCCACAACAGTTCTGTAACTCCCAGATACTTATTTAAATAGCTAGGGGAATAGAGGTTTCAGGTGAGAGGAAATGTGTATAACCATTTCTGTCCTGCCTGTAACAGGGACTGAACCCTGTTCCCTTAAGTTGTGAGCTGAGGATGTAGACTGTTGTGCTGCAATACCCCTTGCTACATAGTCAAAATTAAATGCATAATACAAAATTAAATGCATTGACTTTTGTAGAAATATATAGCTGGCTCAGCTCAGGACGATATTGCAGCTATGCAAAATTCTACCAAATTTGAAAGTTGTATGGCACACATGGACAGTAACTACTGAATATAAATAACCGTGTAATACTGTACAGTATATATAAATTGTAAAGTACAGCTTTTTTTATATGATCTTTAATAGTTTCATATGAACATTTTGTAACATAATAAGGCAGCTAGAAGTTACTATAGTATTTTGCCATGGAACTGGGTTAAATTTTTTATTTTGATCAGTTTTTGTGAGATAAATGTTAGAATTTTAATTATGAATACAGCCGAGGCTATGTTCTTATGGATTCTTATACTGTATTCTTATTTGTAAATTTCTTCCTCACAGGTTCCAGAGTTTGAGAATATCCCACTCTACATCTTTGCAGAATCCTATGGGGGAAAAATGGCAGTGAAGTTTGCACAATCACTCAACAAGGTGAGTACTGTACTACTTGAATCTCCAAGACATAGTTACTAAATGCAATAGATTATTTATTAGCTGCCTAAATTATTTTAACCTTTAAAGCACATCATGCATGCTTTGTACTCACATTTCTTAAATACAAGCAATGAAGCCAGAGCACAGTACTTATAATCTAGTTACAGAATGTAACTTTTGGGTATGGAAAGTTGAATTGGGTCACTTTGCCATGAATATTGGACACAATAACTATGAATAGCAAGTGTTGAATAAAATGTTTGCTACATTCTTTTTTTACAGGCAGTGCAACAGAAGAAGATAAAATGTCAGTTGGCTGGTGTAGCTTTGGGAGATTCATGGGTGTCCCCTGTTGATGCTGTGCTCTCGTGGGGACCATACCTCTATGCCACGGTATGTTTATGGGCAGCGGAACTCTGGCATGTTGATAGAAAGAGTTACTGAGTTACTTGAGAAAACTCAAGATAACCTCAAGATTACTGCCTGGGATTCATTTTGTATAGTACTGTAGTTGTAGCACTTGACAAACAATTTTTAAACTTTTATAATTGAAAATAAGTTGGTGATGAAAAATTAATACAGAATTGAGTGGTATCAACACAACTCTGAATGTTATCGGTCTGTATTTTTTCCCCAACATTTCAGGCTTACATACAAAGAGAGCAGAAATATTTGATTCTTCAGTACAGTACTGCATATTTATTGATAAATTGTCCCCGACTTCCGTATATCTTCCACCTGCTATGTAGTTATCCTTGCATAGCACTTCTTTTAATAATTATAATTTATAAAATGTTATCCCTGACTTCATAGTGTAGTACAATAGTATCTATTTGCACTATATATGTATAACAGGGAAGTTTTATGATTTCCGCAGCATACCCCTGACACCTTACAATCTCATCATCAGGTAGTGGCCACAGAAGAGGTTTCTCCAGGTGGCTCTATCACCACACAAACTTGCACTCTGTCAAACTTGCACCCACCCACCAAAAGAGCCCCATTTCCATTTACACCTAAAAGGGCCACTTTCATATGACTTCTTTCTATCCCTGCCTAAATATTCATATCCCCCCCAGTATTATAACATTCTTGAAGTTAGTATAGGCAACACACAGCAGATTGGGTCCAAGTTGTTGTCCAGGTCAGGAATGAGACATTTGAGCATATTTCCGAGCATATTTATTTTTAACAACTAATACGTGTATACTGATTTTGTTACTTGTTCCTTATAAGTGCTTTGTTTGGAGTTTATGATAATGATCTGCTAGTTCCAGTGTCTTAAAATTCCTGGATCGTTCCCAATGCATACTGCACTTTACTAGTACTGTATTGGCATATAAAACCAATGATTCATTAGAAGGCATTTTTACTCTTGTGGTTGGAAGCATTATTGTCCCAGAAAATATGCAGAGCACATTAGTTGGGATCTGAAAGTGAGAATGAACATACAGGTACTGAATCAAGCACAATTTATTTATTTATATAGAAGAAGGTACAGTACATTGGGTTTATGAGAGCACATAGCATTGATATTTGTACATTCTTGTAAAGCCATTAACATGCATAGTGTTTCGGGCAGTTTTTTCACGCAAGCGAAATTGGAGTGCTAGAGGTTGGCTAAGAAAAACAACCGATTGAATGCAAGATTCAAAGATTGATTGGTGATGCTGTTTGGCCAGTGTGAAAATTGAGGAAAAGCAGAGATGTCATATATCCAGCTGAACGTATATTACTATGTTATTGAGAATAGCGTATTATTTACCCAGAGGTTTAACTAAATTGACCTGAGTGCCATTGTCTTTAGTGGCCTCAACAGAGATAGGAAGCCAGTAGATTGTCAAAGGTTCCCATGTTGCTTTGAATGGTATTTTCCCGCTTGAATCATGTAATTAACTGAGATTATATGGTTTATTACTTCATGTAGGCAAATTGGTTAGGCAAACTATTTTGTTACACATTTCTCTTGGCTCTCAGAAATAAGGTTTATGTACTTTTTTGAAGATAAAACATTTATTGAATTGATTTAAAATGCTCCTTCCAGTCACTGATCGACTCTGCAGGCTTGGCCAAGATCAGTAAGAAGGCCAAGGAAGTATCGGATGCTGTTCAGGCTGGAAAGATGGGTCAAGCCACAGAACTCTGGGGTCAGGCAGAAGATTTGATCGAGAATGTAACAAACGGTGTCAATTTCTACAACATTCTCAAGCAGGCTCATAAAGATAATTCTTCTAATGCTGTTACAGTTCTTCCCTCAAATGAGATTGCTTCAAGAATTCATGGTAAGATAGTGTCATAATTATTATTATGCTTTGAAGAAAAATATGCACTGGTTTAATTAACATTATATTGGTAGATGGCATATTATTGCTAGTATTCTTCTATGAGGTCGCTTATCATGCACAGCATTTTGGGTAAATCTTACAACTAACCATTTGTCATCTTAAAATAAATACGTATGCAGTATTTATATTGTGTATATAAATTCTATACAGTACTTTATATTAATATATTTAATTATATTCTTTTAATAGTTAAAAAATTATCAATAGCATATTGTATTCATATTCTGTCCATATAGTACATGAAGGTACAATGGATTGTGAACTACAGCTAGATTATGAATGATGAGCTTACATAACTGATTCTGTAGTGTTAATCAGTGTTGAGATTAAATTGGGAGAATTGTTACAGTAGTTCATTTAAAGTACTGTATTTTATTACCATACTGTACTAACAATATCAGTTAACACCATTAGCTTTTATTATTTTATGATGAAGACTATGCGGTTTTAAAGTCGAAAACTGTACTGTGTATCAATTTGATATTGAGATTTTTTGTTTATTTTGCTAGTTGGATTTCCAAGCTAACTAAGTCGCGTAAACTATTCCTCTTGTAATTTTCATCGTATTAGTAGCTAGTAGTGGAATTGTTTGTAAGGTTGGCACAGTAGCACTAGAAATACGTACGAATCACATACAACTAAGGAGAAAGAGAAAAAGATGAAAACTGGAACGAGAATGGTGTTGCCGCTATGTGCGATGAAAACAAATTGCAGAACATGTCAAATGCTTCGCTCGATCCCAAGAAAAATAAAGAAAGAAGGCAATGTAGAGAAATAGAAATGATCGAGCAAAGTTTGCAAGATTCATATAAAATCCAGATGAGCCAGAGTGTGCAAAACGTCATAAGCGAAATGGAGAGGAATCCAAAATATGTTTTCTCTATGCAAATTTTAGAACAAAAATTATATCCTGCATTGGGCCCTTATGCAAGGGCAATGGAACCTTCACAGATGACAACAAAGAAATGAGTGACATACTAAGGTTACAGTATGAAAGTTGTGTTCAGTGAACCCCTGAACATATTGAAGATCAGTGATGCAAACAAATTTTTTATAAATGTGATACCACCATCGAACTATATCAGATATGTTCCTAACGCCACTTGACTTTGAAGTAGCCATACACAGCATATCCATGCATTCTGCACCAGGCCCAGACTCCTTGAATTCTATAGTCATCAAGAATTGAAAAACAAAAAACTTATTACAGGCCCTAAATATCTTTTGGAGACGGAGCCTAGATACTGGTGTTATCCCTAACATACTTAAAACAGTGAAGATCACGCCACTTCACATGGGAGGTAGTTAAAGCAGATGCAAAAAATTTTAGATGAATAGCTCTAACAGCATACATCATAAAATTCTTTGAAAGAGTCCCAAATGGCAAGATCATAAAACACACGGAATCGCAGTGTCTACATAATCCTGGGCAACATGGTTCAGGGAAGGGTGCTCCTTCGTGTGACAGTTGCTAGACCACTATGACATGGCCTTAGATGCCATGGAAGACAATCAGAATGCTGATGTAATACTGTATACACATAATTTGCATTATGTGTATACAGGAATTACTGCCAAAGTAGGAAGATGGATCTTTAACTTGCTAAAGAACAGAACCCAGAGTGTAATCAACAACAAAGTAAAATCTGAATCGTCCACCGTGAAAAGTTCAGTTTCCTAGGGTACGGTGCTTGCTTCGGTACTTTGCCTTATCCTCATATTAGACAGACAAGGATGCAATCTGCAGTACTGTATTGTCCTTTGTATTTGACACTAAGATTTTCATGAGAATAGACAATATAGAGGATGCAGTAAACTTCCAATCGGATGTTAGTAAAGTCTTTAAATGAAAATAACATGGATAATGAGGATAAGTTCTAGTTATGGGGAATGCTATGGGGGAAAAACAAAAATATCAAGACAGAAACCCCATATAAAACAGTCAGATCCCACATTACTGAAAGAAAAAGTACAGTAATGTAAAAGATTTAGGAGTAATCATGTCAGGAGACCTTATCTTATAGACCATTACAGGCCTCAGAATACTGCATATACATATTAATATGATTTTTTTTTAACAGAATGCCTCTATCATCGCTATGTGGGTCAGTTTTCTGCCGTATTGGATGCATTAATGAATGGGCCTATACGTGACAAACTGAAGGTTATCCCACACAACGTGACTTGGGGTGGACAGAGCCAGCTCGTGTTCAGGGCCCTTGCTGCAGACTTCATGAATTCAGCTGTGAAAGATGGTAAGTTGATAGTAACTTTTAAATCCTTGAAAATTGACTTGTCAATAAACCAAGTACTGTATTGTACTGTACTGTACTTGGAATGGACAGAAGAGGGACGGTATTGCTTCTTGCAGGTCAGCATTCAATCCCAACTGTCAAGTGGTTCGGCACCATTTCTTCCCTCTGTCCTGTCCCCAAACCTTATATTCAACCCTTCCAAGTATTATATATCTGTAATGGCTTAGTATTTTTGCCTGTACCATTATGTTGTGTCTATAAAACTTTAATACCCCAAAAGAGACAATAATAAAAGTAAAGCGTAATGATTGAAAGCACTGCTGGATTGCAGACTTTTGGTAACTTTTTGCTATATAATCATAGTTGTGTATACAGTAATGTATAACTAAAGTAAACTTTGTAATGATACACTAAATGTTCTATTTTCAACAGTGGAGCTTCTTTTGAATACATCGGCAATAAAGGTCATCGTCTACAATGGTCAGCTAGACCTGATTGTTAATATTTTAGGTAAGTATCTCTCATTATTTTGTGAGAGTAAGGTGTTCAAATGGTATAAATCATGGTTTCAACGGTGGTCTAAAACGATACATACGGTGCATAATATAAATTATTTTGAAACAGCAATAGAAATAAAAGGCAAACGTGTGTGAATACACTCTGGCTTCCTGTCCCCGACACAGTAAATTATTATTATAATATATTAATGAATGAGAGAGGGAGAGGTGTAAATAGATAGGACAGTAGTTGATACACAATTTTGAAAGCAAATGCTTCTTTTAATATTCTTTTGCAGGTGTACAGAAATGGGTTGAAAATCTGCATTGGGTAGGCACCAAGCAGTGGGTGAATGCTGCTAGAATTCCCATGGAAGATGAGAGTGGTGGCACTGTTGCATTTACAAAATCATTCAAGAACTTCACCTTTTACTGGATTTTAAATGCAGGACATATGGTAAGATCATTTTCACACGGTATATGCAGTGCAAGCAAGTTCAGTAGGTCTTTCTTGCAACAGAATAATTTAAACTTGAAATAAACAAAAGGTCACTATTTTTTCATGGGTTTAATAAAGACAGACAGGTCATGGCTTTGCAAAGTCAGTGATGGCTCAGTGGTAATGCACACTGTGGTTCACAAGGTACTTTTCCTAGGTTTGTATCCTGGCTGGGAAGGATTGATGAGGTGCCAATACATACCTGTACATGTTTTGTTTACCCAGAAGTGGTTGTTAAAATTGGTTGGTTGTATTCCAGAGGAAACTAGTGGGTAAGGCTTAGTGAGCGATGGGATTTTAAACCCATCAGCCTGCCAACAGGAGTTAACAGTTGGCAGTTCGTGTAGCTGCATTACTCCCGAGGATTTTTTTTTCCAGCTAGTTATGCAGCAGACTTAATATTTATACCTTTTGTGGATAAGCAATCTCTTGGGTTTATTATCCCAAGAGTGAAAAAGCATGCCCTGGTCTGTGCTAAATTATGGTACGTCGAGCTTTAAGTGTAATTGAATAAATAAATAAATAAATAGTAGTTTTCCATTATCAAGATAGCCACCTTGAGTGAACTGCCTTTGATATGAACTAGTTAAATATTACGAAATTGTGTCTGGTGTGGTATACTATTATCTTGTGAATTTATTGGGCATTTGGAAAATTTTTGTTTTCCCTATAGTATTTATCTTCGTGAGTGCCTGCTGACCATACACAAATTGGAAAATGGTGATTAATATAAGGATATGAAAAGATGACATTTAAAAACCAAGATTTTGTATAATTTGCAGATTCCTATTGATGCGAGCGACGTGGCTCTAAGGATGATGAAAGCGGTTGTAGGCGTGAAGTAAAATACTGGTAATATAAAATGTGAAACAGAAGAGTGGCAAAGTATTAAATAAAGTTAATGTTAGAAAGATTTTAGTTAAACAAAAGAAAAAAACAAAAAAAATGTATATTTTAGATATATAGGTACAGTATAGTGTGAAAAGTCAAGCAATGGGGAGGATACATGAAGTATTATTGGTGCTACAGGATGGCATTGACTATTGAATGTTAGGACAGCATAAATATTAATGTTTGCTACTGTGATATAATTTGTATACTGTAAATCAGCAATGCCCCACCCCCCCCAACAAATACTAATATGCCGAAGTTATTACATATGAATCTTTATGAACTATATTAGTGGCCAATTATTTATATAATGTAATTACTGTAATAATAAAAAGTGAATAAAACACTTAGTATGTAATATCCAAATTATTGCTGTTAATACTACTGTATTGCTGCTATACAGTACTATAGCAACAGTGCCAGTGATGATGCAATAGCTTCCATAGTCTGAGGGAGAACAAAAGTGGGAAACACAAGGACGATTGGGAGAAGGGACAGAAGACTGTGAAAAGGAGAGCACAGATGAACGAGGAGGAAGTAGAGTAGTGGAGTTAACTATGCAAATAGGATGGAGTGGAACTGACAGATGCTAAAGGAACACTGGTGGCTGCAGAAGAAGGGGAGCTGGAGGAGGTATTGGGGTCCAAGGGTTTGAAATCATTGGAGAATGAAGGAAAGGAAGGGTGGTGAAGAAGTGTGATGAAATGCACGAGTACAAGTATAGAAAGAAACAAATTCAAGACGCAGGATCCAACACCGAGCCTCGAGGGAAAAGAAATACAATCGTGATGCTTCAAGGCGAGGATGGCCTCTTCAAACTTATGAGCATGCCAGAAAAGGCAGGGTCAGCCTCCCCGCAGTTAATGCAGTGAGAACTCCCAGGGTCACCTCGCAGCTCCAAGAACCACGGCCAAACACCTATTGCACAGGCATGGAGGGAATGTAGTCCTGAATGGAGCATCGGCAAGAATGACTTGACAGAAGATGGGAGGGTCCTGCCATCATGTGAACAATAGAGAACAAACATGGCAACCATGAGTGGGACAAGTGAAGGAATCAATCTGGAGGATGGGAGAGCCCTGGGTCTTGAAGATATACTGAATATCCTCATGGCAGTCCGAGGTTCCAAATATCAGTCACAAATGTCAACACTTGCATCATTCAACAGGGTATTTTTGGATATCCAAACTGGTGTCACACCAAGGGAGGACAAAGCAGCAAGGCAGAGGGCCACAACTACACGAGTTAATGGTAACCTAGTGACACTATGCAGGCGATGAGTCACAATAACGTGGCTAAAGTATGTTGACCAGACCACACACTAGAAGGTGAAGGGACGACGACGTTTCGGTCCGTCCTGGACCATTCTCAAGTCGATTGTGATGAAGAAGTAGACAGGCAAGAGAGAGCTGAGGAGCAAAGTAAGGTGTATTAGAGGGGGATAGTAATAATAATAAGAGCTGCAGAGGGTCTATTGGCCCATACGAGGCAGCTCCTATTATAACCACCGAATGAGAAGGAGATAGGAATGAGAGGAGGATAGCAAGGGAGCGTAGGAGAAGACAATGAACAGAAAAAGGGAGGAAAGAGAGAGATAAATGGAAGGGGTAGGCTAATGTTAGGTCACGTTTGTTAGAAAGATTAGAGCATTTGAGTATATACTGTGAAAGGGAAGAGTCCACAGCAACAAAGCCAGGACTCGAGTTCATGTTGGGTACATTGTGTATTAGAGCCGATTCCACAAGACGGCGTCTGTGTAGAGTAGAGGCAGGAAAGATTATTTTGGAGGAAGATCAATCAATGGGATGAGTTGAATCCCTCACATGGCAGAAGAGAGCATTGTTAGTGTCTGCAGTTCTTGACAGCTTGTTTTCTAAAAATCACCACCTTCCTCGTCGCTTCCAGCTTGCCCTTGCCTCCCTGAAATCTAACAACTATTCTTATCCTTCCTTCCGACAAAGGGTCCGTCTTGTAGCGAGTAGATTATCCCAATAATATACTCGCTCCAAATATAGTGTTAATATTCCTGTCAACCTTTGGAGATGAATGAGGTGAGGCGTTGCCCGGGCAATACGGTGAGGAGTTGCCCGGGCATATAAGCAGCAGGATAGCAAACATAAACCAGAGTCTACTTTCAAGTGTGGTCTAGAGCAGACACTTGCGAGATACTGTACCAACGCTCAGTGCGCTCAACTCACACCAACGTATCACCTGTGTACTTCTGTATATTCGACCAAATATATATATAGTATCTTAGTGTCTGTGTTTATTTGTCACCATACTTTACGTAACAATAGAACCGTTACACAACAATATCGTGGAGCGACTTATCAAAGATATATTGCTCTCTGGAAAGTGTTTGCTGGCATATCAACCTTCTGTACACAGTGATCCAGTCGTCGAACTTCTCTGCTCAAATTATCGCAAATTTAATTTATGATGTTAACAAGTAGAATGCGTATTTTTAATCAAATCAAACATAACTAGCCAGAAAACGTTAAAGATTATTTAAAAATACATGGTTGGAAGTTAAATCAACTCCATAGAACAATATTTTTGTTATAGATACTAATCGTTATTTGTTGGTATGCGTTCGCTACTTAAACTATCATGTACTGTATTTATGTAAAATCTCCCTGTTTCTTCGGACATGGAACACGGAACCTTACACGCTCTCTGATTTACTGTTTAATAGAGATTCACAAATAAGCTTATGATTGTATACGTTATCAAAAAGGCAGTGACAAATCAATTTTGCATTTTAATCACAGAGATTAGATCTTAGTGAGATAGGAAAGATATTTATATTTTAAAGAAGGATTTTTGAACCATCGCTCTCCCTATCGATAGAAACTAACTTTTTTTTTTGTTATTATTAACAAGCTTAGGTATACACAGTAATGTGCTGCTACCCTATTCTATATGAAAGATTACACAGTGTATATCAAAAACTAGCTATAAGTTCATTAAATATTCCCATCTCACAGGATGGTTAGTTATACATGGAATCAGGGGATAAAATACCAGCCTCAATAAAAAAAATCAACTGTGACTAACAAGAACACCCCTTACGGGCTATTCATGCCCGTGCTACCTTTTGGGTGGCTTAATCCTCATCAATCAATCACAAGAAACAAGGGATACATCTCCTGTCACGCAGGGTCCAGTCGCACCTCCACAGATCTCCAGTATCATCTATTGATACTGTTAATGGTTCAAGAGGACTACCACTTACGGGCCTACCTCAAGGTAACAATCAGGTGAGAACAAAATATAAGGCTGATCTATTAGCCTCCGTTAGCAAAATCCGGGTACAGCATATGAATATCTTCCAATATTCCTAAGTGTATGAAGTAATTACAGAGTTCAAAGTACCTTATACCATTTGGTCTGAAGTCACTTATAACAGGGCAATCACAGATATAGTGTTGGTGAGTATGTCCCAGCTCTTGTTCACATAGTTTACAATTGGAATATTTACCATTGGGGGCTATTCATTACCTGCAGCCACCTGCGATACATATCGATATCCTAGCCTAATTCTGGCAATTACAATGTCACACTGTCATTGTGACACTAGTGGAAGTTTTATGCTGTCCGTTCATATAATTCTCGATTCTAAACATGTTTACTTAGTTTAGTTCATTAATTATGCACCCCATATATCATCTTGTGGGCGGTAGTGGAAAAGGTTACAGAGGCACATAAACATGTCATAGCTCTTTATACTCTTGCTTTCTGGCTTTTGTGTGTCAGTGACTGCTCTTCTGTCTTCCCTAATTTCCTAAAATATTGCGGCGTTGACAGAAGAGATTGGAATGCCCATATCCCACTCAACTTCAGGCTTATCACATTCAGTTTTAGCTGCCTTGTTTGTGTCATCATGCTGGACAACACCTATATGAGAAGGAATCCATACAAATGAGACTTTGAAACTCCTACTGTTTGCAATAATAATGTTGTTTATAATGGAAGTTACAACTACAACCTTTTGAAGATCAATGCTAATTTTATCTAGATAATGTAATAAACGAAAGTTTTCTATGTCAACAGAAAGGCAGAAATATAAGCTACACTTTAAATACTTGTCATAAATATAACTGAAGTGAAAGCGAAGATATATGCATTTGATACTGTACAGTTTCTTGATGGCTTGCTCTAAGAGTGTGAAGCCCTTCACACCAGCCTATAAATTGTGTAATTTATTTCTATATATGCTAATAAACCTTAAAATCTATATGTCAGAAGGAAGATGTAGACGTTAATGTGACAACATTTCAAGAAATATCTCTCTCTTTAAAGTTAAATAATACAATCCTATCGCCGGTGTCCGGACACATGAAAGCTACTTAGGTATCAGTGGCCAGCCAGGTGGAGATCACAGGCTGTACAATACTGATAAATTATGTAATTCACAGAGATACGTTGATAAATATTAATGTTTTATATTTTATTAAAAATACAGATATATACTTTGTTTCATACGTTAAATGTAACAATATTTCAGTATATATTATATAAGCATAGTATATATAATTCAGTATATACAATATATAATAAGAGTGTCAGACCACGGAGGAAGAATTGAAACAGGAATTTCCTTTAGTACTTTCTTATATTAATACATCTTCAGAGCGAACCATTCCTTCTGAAGATGTATTAATATACGAAAGTACTTAGAGCATTCTATTGTGGTTTTAATATTGAACAATTATACATATACGAAACAGACAAATCTGGTGTCCGAAATAGTAAAAATATTAGTGTGCGATGTGATCAATGTAAGGGGGATATTGGGTGTGCCTCGTATCCCCTACAACAACAAGAAGTTCGAGAGCGATGAGACCGCCATGCACCTACTAGCTTCAGGATGTCGTCGAATCTAAATCAACAATATACTACCGCCGCTACTTTCTCGGAAACGTAAGTACCTGCCGCTTTACTTCTCTCACCCTGCCTGGCCTGGCCTGACCTGGCCTAGCCAGACCTGACCAGACCTGACCTGGCCTAACCTTACCTAGCCTAGTCTGACCTGGCCTAGTCTGACCTGACCTGGCCTAGCCTTACCCAACACTAATCACCACACGTGACAGCCCAAACGAATCGCAAATAAGTACACGTAACAAGTCATATGCCCGGACACTCTTTCACCTTGGGGACTGAGTGGTAACTCAGTTTACTTTATGCAGTCTCCGTGGTGTAGTGGTAAGACACTCGCCTGGCGTTCCGCGAGCGCTATGTCATGGGTTCGTATCCTGGCCGGGGAGGATTTACTGGGCGCAATTCCTTAACTGTAGCCTCTGTTTAACGCAACAGTAAAATGTGTACTTGGATGAAAAAACGA